CGCCGCCCCAGCCCTCCCCTCCTCTATCCCAACTCCCCCACCACGGGCCCCTCCCCGCAGGACTCTGCGCCAGGCAGGGAGCCGGGCACCTGCCCACGACCACTCATTCACGTTCACTCGGCCCCCTGGGCCGGCGCGGCCGGAGAACACAGACTGGTGGCGTCCACACACGCGCAACCGGCCTCGGCCTCCCACAGCGGGTCCAGACGCGCAGGGAAGGACCTGGGGGTTCCCGCGGAGCCCGAGGCCCTTGGCCACGACCAGTGCGCTGCACGGGCAGGGGAGCGCCGCGGGAGCCACTGAGGCAGGCGGGGCTTACCTGCATGGAACATGGCCCGGCGACACAGCTCTGCCCAACTGCTGCCCGCCGCGAGGAGCGCGTCGTAGGCGATCATGGGAGCGTCGTGGCCCCGCCGGCCCCCGCGGCCTTCCGAGCTCCACTTCCTGTAGGCCTGAGGGCGCAGCCGGGTCAGGCGCAGGTGCGCGCAGGCAGCCCCGTCTGTGTGCGCGGCCCCGGTTCCGCCCGTCCGTGCGCCCGCGCCAGGCTCACCTTGTCCCTCTCCTCCGCGTCGTAGTTGTCCGGGAAGGTGGCTTTGTTCTCCTGGTCCTCGCTGATCTTCCTCTCCTCCAGGTAGAACTGCCACTTAGCTTCGAAGTAGAACCAGTGCTCCTGGTACTCTGCAAGCAGAGAGCCGCGAGTGAGCGCGCGCCCAGCGGGGTGGAGCGAGGGGCCGGGGAGGGTCCCGGGAAGGGGGACCCAGCGCCCCAGGGTGACGACCCCGCAGCTGCCCAGGACCCGGAGAGGCTGTGGCAGCTGCTCTGCAATGGCTAGGGAGACACGAGGCTAGGGCTGGCACCAGGGGGACCTCAGGCTAAGATGGTGCCTGTGGTGTTTTAAGCACATTCTCTTGAAATCGCTAAAGCCAGGTATTTGTGTTAATTAATTCATTAATTATGGATCCTGTGGCCCAGGCTGCAGTGCCTTGGTGTCAGCCTGTCTCACAGCAACCTCAGACTCCTGGGCTCAAGCAATCCTCCTGCCTCAGCCTCCCGAGTAGTTAGGACTACAGGCATGTGCCACCATGCCCGGCTAATTTTCCTATTTTTAGCAGCAACGGGTCTTCCTCTTGCTCAGGATGGCATTTTTTTTTTTTTTTTGGAGACAGAGCCTCACTTCTGTCACCTGGGCTAGAGTGCCATGGCGTCAGCTTAGATCATAGCAAGCAACCTCACACTCCTGGGCTCAAGCAATCCTCCTGCCTCAGCCTCCTGAGTAGCTGGCACTACAGGCATGTGCCACCATGCCCGGTTAATTTTTTTTCATATGCATATTTTTAGTTGGCCAATTATTTTCTTTCTATTTATAGCAGAGACGGGGTCTCACTCTTGCTCAGGCTGGTTTCCAACTCCTGACCTCGAGCAATTCACCAGCCTCAGCCTCCCAGAGTGCTGGGATTACAGGTGTGAGCCACCACGCCTGGCCACAACTGGCATTTTTATTAATTTAACACCGTGCCTGCAAAGCAGGGAGAGGGGAAGCTTCGTTATTCCTGATTAATAGCTTGATATCCAAGCCCTGGAAATCTCAGGCGTGGAGGGTCCCTGGGGAAGAGGAGGCTGGTGCAGGAATAGGGCGGGTCCGCAGCTGCAGCTGCCGAATGCAGGGGCCTCCTCTGGCCCTGGAGAGCCCAGGGAGCAGCCGCCCACCCTGCTCTGCGCACTCGGGCCTGCCCTGCCAGGCGGGAGCCCTGAGCTGCCTGGGCTGCTCGGTGGTGGGTAGGCCCGAGGGACTTGGGTGAGATGACGGACACAGGCCGGGTTGCAGAGGGCAGGGCCCTGCGCCGCAGCCCGATGCACGTCCACGGGAGACACTCAGGCCACTCGCTGGCTTTTCTGTTCCAAAAGGACCAGCCCAGGTTGCCCTGGAGACAAGCGGCCCTGACCCTGCTCTCAGGCCCTGCCTCCCGCCCTGCAGGACTGTGCTCATTCCAGAAACTTCTTAGCAACCCCAGAGAGCAGCCGCATTCCTGGCGCAGCACACGCCCTGGCCTGGACAGCTGCTCCCGTGGGGTGGGAGAATCTTCCAGAAGAGCCCGCGCCCAGAGAGAAGGCTGGTGCCTCCCACCCCCGCCCTTCCTTCTGGCAACTGGTCTGCCTCGGGGACTCCAGGGGATGACGGGGCCACACTGCCCGCAACCACAGCTGCTCTGGGGACTGTGGACGGGGCGGTCCCACCCTGCCGGGGCAGGAGTGAGCGTCCCCCTCCATGGCGCAGGCCTCTGTCTCCTGACTGCTGGGTGCCCTGCTGTGGGGCCTGCCAGGCTCCCTCTGATCAGCCGGGATCCCCTTGGCGCCCCCTATCTGGGAGCGGGAGAGGAGCTGTGTCTATCTGCCAGGGTCACTGGGGTGTGGGCGGTGTGGCCGTGGGGTGGGGGGCTCACCTGCCATGTGCCGGATGGTCCTCCTGCAGTACTCCTCGGCCAGCGGGACCACCCGAAGCATGTCCCTGCCCCACTGCGCCAGCGGCCTGCCTTGTATGGCGTAGGACACGAACAGGGCCGTGCACAGGGACCCCAGGAAGCCTGGAGGGGAGGGACAGACACGTCGCTGGGCCACTCGGGACGGGCTTGGTGGCCGCCACTCACATGGCGGCCTGGGACACCCAGGGAAGGGGCGTCCCGACCCCGGCCTCCCCCAGGTGGCGGTTTTCTCCCCTGTTTGTTCCCATGTGTGTGGTGTCCGGACCCAGGAGGTCCTCCCTCACACGTTCCCAGCATGAGCACGCTCCCTGGGATCCCGCTTGGGTTCAAGGCAGACCTCAAGCAAACCCGGATACTAAAATATTCAGCCGGGGGGAGGGGGCATGGGCAGTATAAATAACCTTAACACTTGTACCCCCATAATATGCTAAAATAAAATAATAATAATAATAATAAATTCAGCCAACTCCCCCCACAAGGGACCAAATAAAAGAGTTGACGCAGCCGGGCGTGGTGGCTCACGCCTGTAATCCCAGCACTCTGGGAGACCGAGGCAGGCGGATTACTCAAGGTCAGGAGTTCAAGACCAGCCTGAGCAAGAGCGAGACCTGGTCTCTACTAAAAAAAATAGAAATAAATTAATTGGCCAACTAATATATATAGAGAGAAAATTAGCCGGGCATGGTGGTGCATGCCTGTATTCCCAGCTACTCGGGAGGCCGAGAGTCGAGGATGGCTTGAGCCCAAGAGTTTGAGAGTCTCAGGTTGCTGTGAGCTAGGCTGACGCCAGGCCACTCACTCTAGCCCGGGTAACAGAGTGAGACTCTGTCTCAAAAAAAAAAAATAGAATCAGCCAACTCCCCAAACAAGTGACCAAATAAAAGAGTTGACGCGCTTGCACGCGGCGTCCTCGTCCCTCGAGTCGGACGGCAATGCAGCCCGGCCCGGCCGCGCTACCTGTGGGGTGGTTGTGGGTCATCCGGCCGCACTCGATGCTGACCTCCACCAGCGTGTCCAGGCGCTCCGGGCCCCAGTACCGCATGCCGATGCACATGGCCTTCGTGGCCGCTCCGAACCCCGACCCTGCGTGGAGGAGGAATTCCCGGATTCAAGACTTTTGCTCCCATTGCCCCACCTCTCACAATGTGGCTTTCGTGAACAGAAAGGGCAAGAATCTGTGCGGTGACATGTTCGCCGGAGTGTCTGAGTGACCACGGCCACTGCCCGCACGGCTGGCGGTAGAGGAGGTCGGAGGACTCAGGTTGCACCCAGGGATGAAACGTTATTTCGCCACTAAAAGCAGAATTTTTTTTTGTTTTTTTTGAGACAGAGTCTTTGGCGATTGAGGTGTTGGTGCAGCTTGGTTTGAAGAGTTGCGTATATAAATGGAATCACAGCAGGGCGCGCGAAGCACGAGTGGCGGGCGCACACCCTACAATCCCAGCATTTGGGGAGGCTGAGGTAGGAGGGTCGCTTGTGCCCAGGAGTTTGAGACCAGCCTGGGCAACATAGTGAGAACTTGTCTCTACAAAAAATGAAAAAAATTAGGCTGGGCTCGGTGGCTCACGCCTGTAATCACTAGCAGCTGTTGTGGAGGCTGAGCGGAGGGATTCGCTGCGAGGTCAGGAGTTCAAGACAAGTCCATGGAGCATGGAGCGCGTAGACGCCGGTCTCTACTAGAATAGAAAGAAATAATCACACAGCGCAGGAATTAATTGTGGGGGAGGCAACTATATAAAGATTATTTATATGGTGAGTAGGTGTTGGGGGAGTCTTAAGAGAAGAAGTTAGCCTGGCCGCATGGTGGTGGCTATGCACACTGGAGTACAGTACAGGTCGTACTTGGTAGGATTGCTTGAGACCCAAGAGTTTGAGGGTTGCTGCTGAGCCTAGCCTGCGCGATGCCATGGCACTCTACTCTAGCCTGCGGCCCAATAGAGTGCAGACTCTGTTTCAAAAAAAAAAAAACAAACAACTAAAAAACAAACAAAACAAAAAAATGAGCTTAGGTGTGGTGTGG